GTGACATTTAATTGCGAAGCATTTATTTTGGCTTGAACTGTCAGATACCGTATTTGCGAAGGTTTATAATATAATAGTTTTGCCAGCATATCTGCAAATATGCAAACTAATTGCTGTTCTTAATCTTAATATAAGAAGGTTTCAACTGACTACTATAAGATCCCCGTGCGTAGAACGGGCACACAGCTAGTATCTATATATCTAATTCCGTAAGCCCAAAATTTTACAATGAAATTGTGAGCGAACTGGAGGCCGTAGAAAGCTGGGAGGGGTCTCATTTTAAAGGTCTGGGCATGAAGTTTTGGGGAAAAATACTCATTTTTCTTACTTATGCACCAAAAGGTTATTACAGGATAAAATAAATCACATTTAAATAGCATGGGAATCCAGGTCATGTCCGATTTGTTTACTTTAAAACATGTGGTTTAGATTTATTTAAAGCATATGGTAATATCATTGACTATTGGCTACAAAAGTTGTATTAATAGTGTTAAAGGTAGTATGTAATATATGTATTGTATGTAACTATAGTGCATTTGAAAGCAAACATGCGTGCAAATGAAAATGAAATAGCATTTTGTGATTGGCTTCTACGCTTATATTAGGTAATGGAATCTTAGAGAGCAATAGGGCAACACCGGCAATTGACATTCCAGATAACTTTGTTCTCTCTGATTGTGCAATTGTTTATGGCAACTCAATAAATCCAGAAAATATTCAAAACCACTCCAATCAAATAATTGTATGTCCTTTAAATGAACATTGTGATAATTTAAATGAAGAAGTATTAAAAATCTACTACAGTAATTATGAAGTAGTTTCAGAAGACCCTACAGAGAGGTTGAATATACCAATTGAGTTTATAAATTCAATTACACCATCTGGAATGCCACTACACAAATTAGTTTTAAAAGTTGGTTCAATAGTGATGCTCATAAGAAATAGGGTCTGGAGTTAATGGAGTACGATTGGTTGTGTTGGGTATGTCTGAAAAAAGTGTAAAGTTAGTAGTAATTACTGGAGTAGGGAAAGGGAACATATTTTTCATGCCAAAAATAAAACTAATATCTACAGATCCTAATATGCCCTTTAAATTTACAAAGGATTCAATTCCCATTGCGATTATCTTTCACCATTACTATAAATAAAGCGCAAGGCCAAACCTTCCCAAAAGTTGGAATTTATTTGAAAAAAAAAACAGTGTTTACCCATGGTCAACTTTATGTTGCTTTTAGCCGGGTAAAGCGGCCAGATGACGTTAAAATAGAAATAGAAACAAATAAAGACCAAGGAATGGACCAAAATGGATAATACACAACAAATGTTGTTTTCAGAGAGATTTTGTTACAGAATTAGTATTTTACAATTTGGAAGATGACATTATCTCTATGTGTTGTGTTTTTCTAAGTGAATTTGTCTATATAAAAAAAAAGGAAATATATTTAATTAATAGTGAAGATTATTGAAAATGTTCTTTTGCTGTATTATGATTAGAAAATTTATGTTACAAACCCACCACATGAAGAGTTTGAAATTTTTATTCCTAATTTTTATCCTAAACAGAGCAGACATAAAAATGAATTATGCAGGTATGTGATAACTGTTATACATTATTATAATATACAAAAAATTTAAACGATAATTCAAGGTAGGGTACGGTAACCCATGAGACAAATAATTTGTACAAAATAATTATTAGAATATATTACATATACTGTATATAGGGGCTATTGCCCCTACAAGCCACTAGTTTAATATTAATTTGGATTTCAGAAAATGCATGTAGTCTTTGAAAGTAGGCTATAGCAATAACAGATAGGCCTATCTCCTGAAGATTTAACAATGTATTAAAAAACTATGATGATAATAACTTCTACGTGAAACATTAACAACAATAAATCTACAAATGAATAACAAGAAATAACAGATTTTGGAACAAAAACAAACATACATCATCTACAAAACAGGCATAGCAAAGATAATGTTCGGGGTTTTTCTTCTGAAGGAGGACAACTGTTCGTTGAAGAAGTCAACTTGTGATCCGACGCCGTTTCCATGACGCTGCAATCTTGCCAATCCACAATTGAGAGAGTAGTTGGTTGGTGAATACAAGTGAGCAAAAGTATCTGATGATCGTGTTCCTCTCGGTATAAGGAAATTAATTCCCTCCAGTAGGCCGGTAGAATCGATCTCACCAAGAACCAGTTTGAACAGGAAAATCATGTCGTGCAGCTTTCTTCTGAGATGGAGAGGTTGGACATTGAAGCACTCCTGGAGCTCTAGGATTGGTGGGGCACGATACTCATAGCCCAGGCGGACACCTAAGTCTCGGAGGAAGCGTAACTGTACTTTATTTAACATTTCAATATGGCCAAGCTGACTTACATACCGTACTGCAGTTTGGTTAAGGTTAGGTTTGATTTAAAACAGTTTCATTTTATGGGTGAGTCGTTGGCTCAGTTGGTAGCGTCGCAGACTTCGGGCCCAAGGCAGGAGTGTCGTGGGTTCGGATCCTGGTCACTGCCACAAACTTTTATCAGTAGGCCTACAGTTCACCTTTGTACTGTACCGGCTCACCCCTTGCTTTGCTGGATACGTTCCACGCACAGATCTGTAGTCTATGTGGATGGGCAAATGCAAGGTTAAAAGAGGCCGCCAACCTCTTTTTTCTAAAAAAAAAAATAATAATAATCAGCTGGTAGTTAATGTATAGGCTAATGTATACCCTTTGGGGCTACCAGCCGCCTGTACAGGGCCTGTTGTGAGTCGTTGCATGCGTGTATTGTGTGTGTGTGCGTGTGTGTAAAAGGTGAATGAATGGTTTCCTACTCCCAGTGATTTTTGACATCATTACTAAATACTTTCTTAATTTGACTTTTCATTTTATTTACATTTGCTAGTTATTTTTCATAGTGTTAACGTTATCTGCTGTGGCTTCCTGGTAAAATGATTTTTCTCCTACTTTTGTAAATGCAACCTGTCTATATAACAATGTTTAGACTATAGAATATGGAAAGACTGATGTACTCGTTCCTCACGCACAAGCTTATGCCTATGTGGGGATGTAATTTCTGTAACCATTAATTTTCATGCAATAAATGATATATTTAATTTTTTTTTTTATTTGATCAAAGTAAATGTAGGACGGACAAATTAAAGTGCAACCCATTAAAGGTTAGGATGGTTTGTTGGTTAGAAGTATCATTGAGGCGACATTCACGTGATACACAACGTATAGGTTATGGAAAGTCATTTTTAACTTCAAATTCAGCTAACAAAATTACTTAGTTTACTATACATTTCAGTAGGCTACATAGGCTAGCTTACTTACATAGCCTACAATAATCATCTTGAGAAATAATGGTTGTATACGTCCTACATTTTTACTATTATACATTAACTACCAGCTGATTATAAAATGAAACTGTTTAAACTTAACCAAACCTTACCAAACTGCAGTAGCCTATGTGAGTAAATGTAGGACGTAAACTAAAGTGCAGCCTAGTTCAATAGGCCTTATAACAGTACTTTCTTATCATACGGGCAGGCCACCCTTATACAGCACGCTGTGGTGGTTATGTTAGGTTGGGTTATCATAAACATGTTTGACTTGTAGGACTTTCCTCGTTTTGTTATGAATCGAATGATACCAAATAAGTCATACTTTCGCCCACCAAATCCCCTCCAAGTAGGCCAAGGTGCACCTCCTTGACCGGAGGGTGCACATTATCTGCCACCGCCTGTATCTGCATCAGTGTCCTGAGTGACGACTCGTTCAATTTGAAATAACAAAACGAGGAAGTCCTAAAATACTTTAATACTTTCTAGTGTCCCTGTTGCTCGAATTCAAGCAATTGATAAGTGTACTTTTATTTTGTATTACAGGCGTTATTTTACGAATTTCAACCAAGTCAGCAAATATTTTTAGCAAACTGTTAAATTAGCAAACTTATTCTCTGTTTACAATTAACATATGCTCTTCTTCTCACTTTTGATTTTTGACAACAGCTGGAGTTTCATAACAATTTTTGTTTCCAATGTTAATCTTATGGAGAAATACAAAACTTTAAAGGGCTCCAGGGCCTCACTCTCTCATTATATCCCTAAAAAGAAAGTTTCCTGCACAGCTTCATGTTATGCTCTTTCCAATGACACCAAAAACATGACAATCGGTTCAGTAGTTAATAATCTTATTAAATGGCGACCATACAAAGTAGGTATTTTAAGCCTAGTATGAATGGAGATACAAACATATTATGATAACCCAACCTAACATAACTGCCGCAACGCGCAGTATACCTACTTGGCGGAGTAGGCCTACATGTGACAGCTAGCGGCGGCGACACAATCAACTCAATTCTCGCCGACAACGCTGCCTTCTGGGAGGCAGAACTCAAAGGCCGCTAATTGTAATCATGTCAAATGTAGACAGTAGTCAATTAAAGTATGTTCTTTCCAATTAATTATGTAACCTAAGTTTACTGTAGTTATTTTTGGTCTCCGGTAAAAAAATCCCTCTAAAATAAGTGGCTTCCGTATATTATGGAAGTTTTTAAATACCTTAGACACTGCTATAAGAATTGATGTGGACAAGCGTTTTTATAAGGCTTATACAGTTAAGTGTTGGAAATCACCTAGATTGTAGTACTGTATAATGTTCTGTACCAGGTTAATGAGTAAAAATAAATAGAATCTGGACAAGGTCACTAATTGCTTAAGTTCATGTTTGTTTTTCAAAGAGGTGTAGCATGTTTTTTAGTTCCTTTTTAACACAAAGAATATCATTTGGAGATCTCTGGGATTTTAAACCCTGAAAGAATATTTTTCCCATTTTTCTTTTCATTAAAATTACGCATATTTTTTGGCAATGCTTACTAACAGTTTGGATAAAATATCATTTTTGTTCAGTTTTACGTGTTGTAATTTTAAAATAATGAAAGACTTGTTCAGTAATAAAATCGCATGTAAACCGACTAGTTTAACCAATATATTTTGTCCAGATCAGAACAAGTTTGGACAGCGTCTGATGGAGAAGATGGGATGGAAAGCAGGCGAAGGCCTAGGAGCAAACCAGCAGGGTATCACAGACATAGTCAAAACGAGAGTGAAAAACGACAGTAAAGGTTTGTATAATTGTACAGGTAATACATTAGCTCTGTGACTATCTACATTTTAATACTATGATTGAAATTCCGACATGTACAAAATGTGTTACAAAAAGAGTTTTTTAAATTATTAATAATTCATTGATTGAATAATATATATTTGTGTTAAATTCATACACTGACAACAACAAATTAGACAAGTTTTGACAAAAAAATGTTTTAGGCCTAACCCACTGATGCCAACATTTTTATTTCTCTACTAACTGTGTGCCCGTTCTACGCACGGGGATCTTAAAGTAGACAGTTGAATGTGACAAAAATCACAAAATGTGTTGGGGTTTTTGGACATTTGTAACTTTATTTCTTAAGTAGGTAGGTCATGTATTCCATGGAAAAGTACCGGTATCAAGGATCGTCATCGAAAAGGTTGTTATGAATAGAATAAATAGGTAGGCGTACGTACCCAAGAGATGGGCTATGGGCCTATTGGCTGTATGGTCCAGCGATTGCATCACACGGTGAGTAGAAACAGAAAGTGACACATTGGAAAAGCGAGTTTAGCATCATCCGTATACCTCTATTTCTTACAATCACCCACTGCAGTTGTCATTTTTTTACTTTACACTTTACACAATCGCCATTGAAGCGCCGTCAGTGAGTGGAAACCTTGTTTGTAAGCTATTGGCGACGATCATTATAAGTGTCCCAGTCCTATACAACACTGATTCAAGGTCTTCTTTCTGGTTATTAAAACTCAAGAACAATTTCACACACAAATAATCTCTGGTTCCTGACCTGGATGATGCCTAGTTATTTAATTTCATTTACGGTTACACTATAATATTGCACTTGCGATTAATTAAATCCGTTATGTAAGAAAAACGTTTTTAATCTCACTTTGTTTGGGATTTGCTTTCAAAACGTGATCAGAAATGATTGCAGTATTCGTAAACAACATTTGTAAACATATCAGTGACAGATAGAAAAAATAATCTTGATCCGAACAGCTGTTCGTTATTTCATAGATGATTATGTGATAAAAATTGACCGAAAACTTGGCAAAAATCGCACAAAACTGCATTTTTGAACGTCCATAATTTTATTTAAAAAGTAGTGAGGCCATGTTTTAATGGCTAAAGACACTCTCGCCAATCCAGTGAATACATTAAAATGACTTGGATCTTGATAGGTACTCTCGTTTTCATGGAGAAGATTGCATAAAATGCCATCTTGAGTGTTACAGAAAGACAGACAGACAGAAATAGAGATAAGACTTGTTTCTGCTTCTTTAATGTATAATACCCCCGCCGCAGCAAACCTGCCGACTAAGCGAATTTCCATTTGTCTGAATTGATTTTCAGTTAAATATATTTTAATAACATTAGGTTTAACGAGTACCTAGGTTTGCTGCTACAAGGAAACTAATAAAGTGTGTTTTTGAGTAAAATATTGATAGCTTAGTACAAAATAAATAAATTTGCCAAGTTTGATCAAAATATATTCATAAACAAGCAAACTACAACATTTGACAATATTCTCCATAAGAATAACATGGGAATTTTATATTTACAATTTTTTTAATTTTCTCCGTTACTAATAATCGAACAAAAATACTTTTATATACTAAATTATTTGTTTTTTTAAGCTCTTTAAAAAGGTCTAAAGAGAAATTGGGAAATTTTGTGTTTCAAGGGTCAAAAGTGAGAAAAACCAATTTTTACCCCATAAAACCCCCCGTAAAGCCCCGTTCCCATGGTCCGATCGTGCTGGTTCGCGAACTCATTCAAGTTTATCCCGCTTTACACCTTTAAACCAAATTTCATCAAAATTGGACAAAAATTACTCAATTTATCGCGTTCACGGACGTATATATATATATAAGTCTATATATATATATATATATATATATACATATATAAAAATTTGAACGAATAGTGTTTTTGGCCTCTGGGGACATCAAAATGAAAAAGTAAATCGGTCCCGGGTCTAGGTCTTACCGTGCCACCTACGGTAATAGCTACTTCCCTATAGGGAAATTCGCTAAAACGTAAAAATAACCTAAAAATTTATAATTCTGAGCAATGTACAGACAAAACTCTAATTTATTTATATAGATTAAATTATTTTTTTAGGTTATGCCCTTTATCATATTGGCTATGTAATTCCAAGCAGGATTTGTCTATTTTTAAACCTAAATAAAGCCAAAAAGAAAAGGAATTGGTGTAAACTCACTACTGTTGTTAATTTATACCCAAGACGGACACCATTTATTTAAGGTCTTTCACTCTACCAAATCCACACATTAGTAAGTTTATGTATTGCACATGTACAGGAATTTAACCTTAAATTGTCGAAAGACCTCAACACTACACTTAGTCAGTGCAACGCCATAGCCAACTGAGCTACCTTCGGCTGATCAGGTCTGCTATCACTGTAAACAAACAACGATAGTTGTGCTTGTAGGTTAGATTCAGCAAACTACTTGAGTGCCAGTGGGTTATCTCGCTGAGGGTTATCTTGCATCAAAATGCGGTGAGGTTTACATAGGCCTACTTGAGCTTTTGTCAATGGGCTAAATATCATGGCTTAATTTGAAGCTATTCTATCATGTTGATGATAACTTACTGTCTTATCCATTTAGAGCTATGGTTAGTAGGTAGGCCTAATCCTTTTGTGTGTTTTAGGTTTGGGATTTAAGGAGAACGGGGAGGAGTGGATGAAGACGACGAGTGAATACGACTCCCTACTTGACAAACTTGCTAGCAGCAATGGAGAGAAAGGGAAAGAGAGTCAAACTGCTGCGCCCGTCTCCCTTGAGGATCGCTCCAAGAAGTCTAGAGCTCGTATCCAGTAAGTCAATATGTTGTTAATCTTTTAGCGAATTTCTCCATAGGGAAGAAGCATTAGGCCTACGCACCTAGACCCGGGACCGATTTACTTTTTAATTTTGATATCCTCACTTGCCAAAATACACTATTTGTTAAAATTGGTTTATATGTGTGTGTCTCGTGAGTTGAATAACTTGAGCAATTTTGTCCAATTTGTATAAAACAAAATGTTGTGTGGTTTGAAATTTGTCAAAAATTGATTTATTCAAACTTACCCTTAAAACATAAAAATGGCCAATTTTCATACAACTATTGTTAAGAGCTTAGAAGACAAATAATTTTGTACATTGAAGGGTTGTTGTACAATGAAAAAGGTTACAGAAAAAATTAGAAAAAAAACCTGTAGCCTACATTTTTAAAACACCCATGTTATTTTTAGGAGAAAACTTAAGCTGTGCAGTTTGCTTGTTTGTGGATATTTTGATCAAATTTGGCAAATCCTTTGATAGAGTACCATACTATTTACATTTCCCGCCAAAAATCACCATTTTCCTCCCCTGTAGCAGAAAACCATTATAGGTACTCGTTAAACCTAATTTTATTTGAATAGGGAATAAACCAGGTCTCCGGAAGTTTGACGCCAGAGATCGAGGGGGCAGTTTTCCAGTCACGGACACTCAAGTTTTGTTGTCATACTGTTCTAAACTAACCTAACTTAACCAACCAAACCTGCTGTAACATTTCAAAATTCGGTATGATATATTATGATATACATGCCTTCTCTGTTATCAAATGGAATTAGGTACTCGAATTCAAATGACAATTACATAGCATCACATTTTGCTAGGGGGGTAGTATTCCAGTCGCGGACACGGCTACCATATTGGTTAGTTGGCAGATTTTGTGACGTGACGTTTCACCTGTGTGTGTGGGGGGGGGGGGGGGTGGTAGTTTTCTGCATTCCCATAAATCTGACTATTTGAAGGGAATAGGGAAATATTTTTGTCCAAATTCAATCAGACGAATAAAATTGTACATGGTCTGCAGGATTACTGTGTCAGGGTTATTGTTTTTACATCACTGATAAGTAGTCAAAAGTCATCATAAACCTGTACTTTTGCCCTTTTGATCTAACTTACTTGTAATTAATTGTAGCTTGAAAGAGTCATATTGTATCACATTTTTTGTTTCAGTTACCACAAGTTTACAAGAGGAAAGGACGTAAGTCGTTATTCAGAAAAGGACTTGGCTTCCATATTAGGACCGGAAGTAGTAAAAGTGAAAAGTGAACAAAAGACCTCTGCTGATTATACACAAAACCAAATAAATAAAGGGAGCCTAGAAGAATACTTTAGCAAAAAGTTAAAGTCGAAAGAGGAAAATTGTGATGAAAACATTGAGGATGACAAATGCAACGACGGTGAAGATAATGGGATTGATTCAAAAAATAATTTAGAGTCAGACCCTCCTGTCCCACATAAAAAGAAGAAGAGGAAGAAAAGCAGCGTTGAAGATAACCTGGCGGAAAACTCAAAGGAAGATAATATATGCAACGATGATAGAGAAACTGTGATAGATTCTAAAGATAATTTAGAGTCAGACCCTCCTGTTCCACCAAAAAAGAAAAAGAAGAAGAAAACCGGAGTTGAAGATAACCTGGCAGAAAACTCAAAGGAAGATAATGTATGCAACAATGATAAAGAAAGTTTGATGGACTCAAAAGATAATTTAGAGTCAGACCCACTTAAAAAGAAGAAGAGAAAGAAAACCAGTGCCGAAGAGGACCAGGCAGAAGAAAAATCAAGTATAAACTGTGATGAAGATATACCAAAAAAGAAAAGGCATAACGTGAAAGTAGAAGAAGAAAAGACAACAAAATATGAAGAGTCCTCTAATGTCAGTAACTTTGTTTCTGAACAGAGTATAGCTGATGAAACTGAAATCTCAAAGAAGAAGAAGAAGAAATCCAAAGTTAAACTTGAAGAGGCAGAGGTACAACAAACAGAACTTATTAGTGAGTGTATGAACAATGAATTTGTAAATGCTGAAGATACTGTTTCACAAAAAAAGAAAAAGTCTAAAAACAAAAGTGAAAAATTAATGTTAGACTCATCAGAAGTTATAACTGAAGATGATGTAAAACCATCAAACATCAATGTTGCTGCATCTGATACTACTGAAGTTGTACTAAAGAAGAAGAAGAAATCAAAAGAAGTTTACCAAGAACACGAAGAAGAGCCTTTGCTGAACGTATCGGTAAAAAAAGAGAAAAATAAACCACCAAAAACAGATGAAGAAGAAACTGCGCAAGGAATTAAACAGGTAATTAATGGTTCTTTAAATGAAGTCTCAACTACTAGTCACATTAAAAAGAAGAAGAAACGCAAAAAAGAAACATCATGTGGTTAAAACATGTATAAACGTTCTTTCAATAAACTCATTTATTGAAAGTAAAATCGGTTTTCATTCTCCTTATAGTGATCAAAATATTCACAAAAGTTGATTTAGTCACTGACTCAGTCATACCTATTTGTCAATTTTGTTGTTATTTGGTCACCAACATGGCAACTTTTAAGGCATATGAAAATGTGTCTTGCATTTTAAATTAACTTTTTGTGCTTATTTTTTAGCCTATTTTAATTAATAAAGGAATTCTGCACATCTACAGGAAAATATCCTTCCAACAGTATGCATAGATTTTCCCTGAATCTGAATCTGAGAAAAAAGGTTCTCAAGAAACATGCTTGACTATTAATATATAGGATGATTATTGCTTGTCCTATAACGGTACATAACTTCCCAATATTTTTTGTTTTGTAAATAGAAGCATGTGAACTTTTCTTCACTGCGTTTAACACATTATCATTACTTAAACCTGCATAAGCTTAACTACACTTAACTACAGCTAACATTTCCCCGACATTTTACGTTTAAGGTTTGCAATCCATGACTTTGTTTATCCACGATCATTCAGCCACTCATTATTTTGGATAATTGAGTGTCTACTGTATTGAAATTGTCCAGATAATTAAGTGTATACTGCGATAGTTTGATATTAACCCTAATATCAGAGTAAGCCACAGTGCAATGAAGGTGGGTTGGCATACAGGGTGGGAAAAAAGTCCCGGGAAAGTTGAATATTTCAAATACCCCCGCCGCAGCAAACTTGCAGACTAAGCAAATTTCAACTTGTCTGATTACATTTTTACTAAAATATTTCCATAAATAAGACATATTTATTCCTTATTTAAATAACATTAGATTTAACAAGTGCTTAGGTTTGCTGCTACGGGGAAGGTAAAAAGTGTTTTTTGACCATACGTCAATAGTATAGGATGAAATAAGTAAATTTGCCAAATTTGATTAATATATATCCATAAACAAGTAAAGTACGGTACAACAATTTTCATTTTCTCCATAAGAATAACATCCTGGGAATTTTAACTTGTCACTATTTTTGACAAGCCGTTCAAGGATTCAAAATTGCATATTCAAGATATCTTTAAACGGCTGCCACATTTGATTCAGTTGTCCCTTTGAGTTCAATTTTGCGGAATTGTATTCTGCTAGTAAAGCCTTGTAATTTGATGCGCATATCAACTTCTAAACATTTAAGATTTTCTTTTGACTCCAAGCGGGCCGTCCTCCCCTGAGGAGGTAGCGCATCACTGAATATGTGTTAACATTTAATGCCCAGTAACAGTGTACTAGGTTACTTTTATTACTTTTTGAAATATTTAATTGTCCCAGGACTTTTTTCCACCATTTAAGAAATGTATAATAATTTCATTAGTGAAAATATGCTTGGTCATAATACTGTAAATAAAAATGATCATATCTAGAGCAATAGTCAAGTTATTTTTTAGTTTGATAGAACTTTAAAATAGTGTGGACGGAATAAGACAATCTTCCTCAGCCGCGTTTACACAAGCCTAGTAGGCAGGCAGGTTTTCTCAGGTAACTTGAAATCCACTAGTTGAAGCAGGTAACCTGTCTTCCTACTGTCCTTGTGTGAACACGGCTTTAAGCAGAGTTCTTAATGTACGAATGTTAGGAAATCGGATTAATTATTCAATGAACTCTAACTCTGCACTCTTAGTAAGATAATGGAAGAGTCATATTGCAGTATCTGTTTCCATCCATATGTTTGAGCCTATGTCTGCGGATCATTGTTAATATTGAGATGGCTTCAGATTAAAACGCATATGACTGGTAAAGGAGTTTTTTGTTGTCTTTTTATATCAGGGATATGAGTTTAGATAAATTACTGAAGAACTCTTGTCTTGAGAGATGTTTTGCCTTAGTGTAGGACTACTTCAGAGTTAAGCTTAGAGAATTTACTCCCTAATGAATTGTTTAGGTTTTTGACCTTTTATGCATGTTTCTGAAATCCATACACGCTAATTTTCTTAGGTAATGTAGATGTACTCTACCTTATCTTAAAAAAGCTCCTAGTGTTCAAAAATTATTGCCATTTGTCGTTAGGCTATAAATTGATGTACCTAGCTTTCTATATCCATGAGATGATTGGATGTTTCATAGTAACAAAACCAGCATAAGGAAATATGCCTAACCCCAAAATCAAATTACTCTGGTGCTTTCTCACTTGAAATGAATAAATATTTTCACTTTTTATATAAAATATTTTATCGGCTGCCAACTGAGTTAAAATATATGTTGGTAATTCGGCTTAATTTAAGTTAAAAGGATTTGTTTATGGTGACTTTTAATCTTATTTCATGTTGTAGTTGTTTTTCTAGGCCTCTATATGAAAATTATTTTTGAAATGAATTTCAGAGTAAGCTTTGCATTTCATAATACACTTTCAAAATTTAAAATTTTCTTTCATGGTGTTTTTCATCAATATGAAGGTTAAAATGTTGGGTTTTACTGGAATGTATTACTTTCAGGTAGCTTCGTCTAAAAAGGCGGAAGATTGTATTGAAGTTCTTGGCCGTAAAACTCGATTGAAAAAGATAAACAATCCATGTAAAACAGCAACCAATGACTCTTATCAAACTGAAGAGTTCATGTGTTTTTCCACAATGAATGTTTCCCAGACTGCAGCTCAAAAAGATGTTAATAAAAACTCAATACCTATGGCAAAACCAGATGCTAGTATGGAAGGAAAGACCAATATGAAAATGACAAAGCAAAGCAAAAATCCTCAAATTATAGAGAAAGTTTTGGAAAAAAAATCTAAAGCTATGTATAAAACGAAAACAGACACGGTTGAGGATTCTAACGTTATGAAATGTTACGAAGACCCAAATTCTGAGGAGGCCAATGTACCAAAACATGTTGTGGCCTACGAGTACAGGCTTGTTGTAGCACGACTGAAACATCTGGAAATATCACCACCAAAAGTGAAAATTACTATAGAAGAAGAAAAAAACCTTAATCCAACAATAATCAGGAAACTAAGACAAATAGGAAAAATTAAACAGTTTAAAACCTTATTGGCACCCAAAGATAAGACTGAAATAGAAACTTTGGTATCAAAATTTTATGAGAATTTAAAACCAAAAATTGAAATGATGACATCATTGGGTGAATTAGAAGAAAAAGTATATAAGATTGCTAAAAACTTGGAAGGGAACTTAAATCCCACAGAAAATGAAAACGTGTCTACTATTGCCAAAGAAGAATCGCCAGAGAATGTTGATTCATTGAAAAGTCAATTACAAAAACTTGAAAACCTTTTTAGTCGTTACAGAACAAACAATGATGAATCGAATACTTCTAAAGATAATACCAATAAGGTAAGAGATTTAACTACGTTAAAACAAATGGTTAAAATCTGATATTATTTTATACATTAGTACAATATTATGTTTTTCTATCAAATATATAAACTGTCATAATATTGAGCAATTGTCTGTCTACGAGGAGATTGCATAATTGTTTGAAGGTTCTTTAGCAGGTTCTTTAGGTGTTTTAGGTGTTAGGTTATTATAGGCCTAAACTATATAACAACATATCTTTAATTTATTATAAAGACCAAACTCAGAAGATTTGTATTTTGCCTTGCCATCTAGCACATGGTGTCTGTGCTAGAAACCTTGTTTTTTTCAACTCCATCATATTTAAAATGCTAGTAATTGCGTCTTAAGCTGAAACCCTTTTAAAAATCGGTAAAAAATGCCAGTGGCATTAAAAACCACAACATTATAGAAAAAGTTAAATTTACTTGGCTGACCTAAATTTCAATGAAACTCAAACTATCTGGACAAAACACAATTTTTCTGGATTGTAAAAGTTAGGACATCTTTTACCATTGTAAAAAAGTCTGGATGACAATCATACAAGCAAGCCTACGTTCCATGAAACAAACACCTCTAAATAGCTCTATATTTTACCACTAATTTATGTAATAGTATTTTAAAGTGAATATGAGATAAATATGCTGTTCCAAAGTATATAATCAATTTAGAAAAATTAATGTGAAAAATAAAATAAAAACTCATAATTTTAAAAAGCATACATTTTCAGGAGGGTTCAGATGCAGACGATACGGCAGGAGAAACCGATTGTATGTGGTTGAAGAAAGCAGAGAAGAGACTTGAAACTTTGAAAGAGAACCAGAAACTGTTGTCCGAGGGCAAAATACCACCCAATTTAACTCTTAGTGTAGAGCCTAAAAAAGTTCCCAAAAAGAAAAAAAAAGTATTTGTCAAAGTAGTTAAAAAACCTAAAAAACAGTACAATGAAAAACACGATTTCAAAAATACAAGCTACTCCAGAGGGAGAGTTGCACATAACGTCAGGAACCAAAGAGGTAGAGGTGGAATTAAGGGGGTACAAAGTGCAATTCCACACGGGGGTTGGGGAGTCCTCAAGTCTTTTGGAACAGACGGGCAGGAACTTCCAAATCGAGGTCAGAACACAGGAGGGTCTGGAGGCGAAGGGTACGGAGGAGGCTTTTTCGATGAAAGTATGTGGAGAGGAAGAGGAACTGGTAGAGGTGTTATGGGACGAGGAAGGGGTGATTTTGTTGGACGAGGAAGGGGTCATTTTATGGGGCGAGGGGGAGGCTTCATGGGACCATGGGGAGGTAATTTCATGGGAGGAAGAGGTAATTTCATGGGAGGAAGAGGTAATTTTGTAGGACAAGGGGGAAGTAATTTCATGGGGCGAGGAAGGGGTGCATTCAGGGGCCGAGGAAGAGGGGATGTAAGAAGAGGAAGGGGGAGAATATCACAAAACAACTTCGAAGCAAAACTGTACGCTGAAAAATGTAAGGAGCTTAACAAAGTACCAGAAGTTTGTTTCAATGGTGTGAACTTGAAGCTCATATCTGGTTATGCTGCCAATGTAACTCCCACTAAAACCACTGTGCTTAGCAACACTGAATCCAAATCAAGTGGAAGTCAACCTGCCATTTCCAATTCGGTCACAAAACCGGGAGCATCGTAGCAAAAAAGAAAAAAAAAATAGTTTGTTCAAAAATTTTGTTGAAAAGAATTAGCTAGGCCTATATAAATTATTAATAATTTTCATCTTTGATATTTTTTAATGTTACAGTAAAACCATATGAAATCAGTCATTTTTATGCATCTTAAATGCAACGCAAAACATTTGTTATAAAATACCTTTACTTAGGTACGGTACCAAAAAATACTGCAAAAATTTCAGTGCTATACAGGGTGATCAACTCAAGAGGGCCACCATTGGGATATCGGAAACGGTAATAATTAGAGAAAACTTTAAATGGCGGACATTCCTTTATTTTTTGTGGCAATTAAAAATATGAATTTTTAGTTTTTTTAATTCAGGCGCCATTTTCCAATATGGCGGCCAACTGTACAATTTCTTATGGAACACCCTATATTTGATCCTGTTTACGGATAGAGCATACAACTTAAAAACTTTTTTATTCTTGGCATAATTTTCATAAACCCACTTGTTTGGGAGTTACAGCCTATGAAATAAACGGTATCAGCATTGTGACACATACTTTCTCCCATAAGTTTGTCAACAACCTTTATCATGTGTAAGCGGTGAGAGTAAATATACGGAAATGGGATTTGTACAATTTCGTTCAGAATTTAAGGACTACATATACTAACATACTAATTTTTTATCAAAATCGTTAGAGCCATTTTTGGGGAAAAACCATTTTTTTATGGAAAAATAACATAATTTACAATCACTTTTGAACCCTAATTTTTTAAGAAATAGGATTTGTACTATTTTGTTCAGAATATAAAGGACTATGACATACTAAATTTTTATCAAAATCGTTTGGGCCATTTTTGGGAAATCCTATTTTCCGGTTTTTTATGGGTTTTTATGGGAAAATCCCCATTAAAAATCAAAATTTCAAAAAAATGAAAAAACCCCTGGAGATACCATGGATTAGAACTTGCATACCAAATTTCATCTAAATCGGACCACAGGTGTAGTCCCTAGCTCTGTACACATCCAGACACACAGCCATCACTTTGAAAACCACTTTTTTGGGTCCAGGGGGACCCAAAACGAAAATATCCACTCAAAACTCGAAAATTTTGACGAAAACAATACTTTCTCCATATAATATGGTATAGGGGGAGAAAGTAAAAATGACTTCCGGTGTACATGTTGCATCATGTAGCTCCTAAACGAGTAGGTTTATAGCGAAAATTCAAACGTAAATAAGTCTTAAAATTGCATCTACATTCCAAAAAGACCCTAAAATACCTTAAAAACACACAGTTTTCCACTTTTCAAGTTTGCTGCGATTTTGGAAAATGGCCGCCATTTTTGAAATAACAAAATTAATATTTTTTATGTATTTTATGGTCTTTTTGGAATCTAGATGCAATTTTAAAACTTATTTATTTACATTTGCATTTTCGCTATAAACCTACTCGTTTAGGAGCTACATGATGCAACATGTACACCGGAAGTCATTTTTCATAGGCTGTAACTCCTAAACAAATGGGTTTATGGAAAAAATGCCAAGAATAAAAAAGTTTTTAAATTGTATGTTCTATCCGAAAACAATATAGGGTGTTCCATAAGAAATTTCAAAGTTGGCCACCATATTGGAAAATGGCGGCTGAATTTCAAAACACTAAATTTATATTTTTAATTGCCACAAAAAATAAAGGAATATCTCCCATTTAAAGTTTTCCCTAATTCTTACCGTTTCCGATATCCCAATGGTGGCCTCCTTGAGTTGATCACCCTGTATAATTAATAAGAGTAGTAGAACTTTACCTTCTGGATGAAAATTTGATAAATTTTCTCTACAATAGTTAGAATCTAATTGAATAAAAAACCAATGTCTGTTGTGTATTTACGAAATTGTTATAGGCTCCTCTGTACAAAGATTTACACAAGTAGGCCTATACAATTGTTCAATTTTACCAATGAATTTATGTGGAAATATGTTTTTATGTAAATATGTCTGTAAATAAATAATTTTATTCAACTAAACATTTTATTTATAACCTTTTAGCCAAATTAGGTTATACTCATGGCTGACACTAAATGATTTTAAAGAGTAACAAGCTAAGATAAATACATTTATTTTTTTATCTACTATGGATTGGTCAAATTCAAATATTAATACAAAATGTTGGTCTTGGAGTGTTCAAACAAAAACAGTCCATGTTGAATAATATACCTTCAATCTGTTATATTAATTAGTCCATGATTGTTATTCTGAAACTTCACTGCATGTAGTTCATCTTGCTCAGTATTTATATTTCCTTGATAAGTCAGCAATCGAATAAATCATTTTCTAATAATGGATTTTTACAGTGGATGTGCTTTGGTAAAATTTTCTTTTAGTGTAAAATGTTCAAATAAATATGTTTGCAAGGTATTTGATCACATTTCTAAGCCTGTTTCCACAGTAAAAAAATTGAAATTGTTTGAAATATTGAAACTTAAATTAATAACTTTCAAATGGGTGATAATTAAGGAGTGCAAATAAAAACGGTTTAAGATGTAGACTTTTAATAAAACACAGAGATTATTAATTAGTACTCTTATTTACATAATATCTCTTAATTAACGAAGGAGAAAGACTGAGCATTAACAATGTCTAGCAAAATCACTGGCACTTTCAAGAGTCTGAGAGATTTGTTCACTATAAAACAAATAGTTAAAATATCAGAATTACCACATTCATTCACATCAGTTTTTCCACAGTCAAAGAAACATAAAAGTAAGATGTGTCGGTGTCAGCTGATACGAGGGATGAAGGTAGAGGTGAAAACGGCCAAAGCTGCCACCAGTAGTGCCACCGCGACACTGTACCTCAGTTGTAGCAACGTGTGATCGCCTGGACGTACCCAGTCCTTCACAACACTCAGCCATGGCGCCTGTAGACTCACCCTCCTGTGAACAACCAGCTTTTCAGTAATTTATCAATCAAAAAGCCTCTATTCTCAAGCGCTAAGTCCAAACTGGTTACACAATCAACAATAGAAATAGCAAACAAACAACAATGAACAAATTTACAATAAGATTTACAAGGATGCTTTGTAAAACATTCTCATCTTTTTCTTGAATGCTGAGGCACAAAGGTTTGAAAGGGGAGTTCGTTGTGAGTTGGAAGACCTAAATAGGAGAACACCCTCCTTCCTTTCTCCAGATTAACTTTTGGAAAGTGGACGAGGGTGTCCTGATTAGTGCCACACCGAGCAATTGCTTCATCTGTTACAAGTCACTCAATCTGGTATTTTGCTTCTTAATGCTAGGACCCATGGACGAGACAACAAGTTTGAGCTCTGCATACAGCATTGGCTAGTAACAGACCAGCAGAATCCCAAAGAGAGATGATGAATGAAAATGTTCTTGCTGAGTTCCCCCAAGAAGTCTGTAGACAAAACGAACTGCGGCATTTTGCATCCTATTCAGTCAGTTAATCTCCTTTCAGGTAATGCCGTTGCTATATGCAGCAAAGCAGTTATGTCAATTCTGTAACTGACACAACACTAAAGATAGATTCAACTTCAATTTTACAGCCTCTAGAAGGATCCTTTTTTTTCAACAGAGTTGGCAGGACAGAATTGGCCTAAGTTCATTCAATTTAGAAGGATGAACGTTACTTTGTTTCCTTGTTTTAGAGAAGACTCCTAAAGCTAGAAATATATTAGCTATGTTATCTATAAATAGCTAAAATTGCTTGTGGAAATTTAATTTAATTTTGCAGTAAATAATCGATTGTATTGAAATTACCTGTTGACAATGATGGTAGGTGTCGTATCAACAGGAGGGGGCGTCTCAGTGTCGCTGCCCGGCTCCATGGACAATCCTTCATCTTCCGACTCAGACTCAACCACGGCCGGTGTTTGGCTGGAACTTTAAAAATTACAGTTACACTGCTAAATCTACCATGATAAAATCATAGACTAACCAACACAAGTAGACTTCTCATCCCACTGTAAATTTTGAAGCTCGTTTTTCGTGTCTAGTTCATGTTGGTGACACTGACACTAATCGCTAGTGTCGACTAAATGTTGTTTCTATTATTTTAGGGTGAATTTCATGATTTGTGCTTTACTGTTTGGTTGAATGACTAGAAAGAGAGTTATAGTTTTATTTGGTTAACAAGGTTTTCTGAAATAACTAGAAACAAAGTGTAAACAATAGCCTACACTATACATCAACAAATCAAATCAAATCAAATCAATTTATTGTTGTAGACATTTCACAATGCATTAACAATCGTCACAAAATACATAATGCTGTTATTAAATACAGCAAATGAATACTTACATGTAATCAATCAATATAATAAGACAGTACAATAAAAAATTATATATATATACATATAAAATACAGCAGGGCCGCGTTAAGGGTCAGTGGCGCCCTGGGCAAAAACCCAAAAGCAGCGCCCCCCCCTTATATATAACTATAAAAGTTTTGCCCACAGCAGAGTTGGGAAGGGGGGTTGACTCATCAGTTCGCCGAAATTCACAGCAGGTGGGTTGGGGGTTGGGGGGAGTGCAATGAGCTTGTGACAGTACTGTAGTTGCTATGCGAATGCCTCTTGCCCTGCGCCAGTAGCTTAATGCACGACGCAGTGATTTGATTACTGTTCAGTCCAGTACAGTGTGCAGTTCATTGCATTACACACGCATTGAACGTGATTCTACGAAGGGAGTATGTTTTTTCCATGGTTCTACCTTTGACTATTAATACAACAGTCAATGGTTCTACTATAGGCCTATAATGCATATATATTTATACATTAGCGTGTTTTTTTACCAGTTTTGTCTCTGGAGGGAGATTTCAATTCCGTATCAGTGGATTTACTGGTTAATACATTTAACTTTCTTTAAAACTGCTTCTTGAGTTTGTTTTCTTTGAGCCAACCGCTTGCGGCTCTCGGCTCCACTAGGTTTTTTTATGCATGTTTCACTGTTTATAGGCCTACTTACTTGTATCAACACTTCTCTATTTATTTATTACTGGTTCACTAACTGCAGTGTGAGTGTCAACACTGACTAGTGACTGTCACAGTTTAGGTTGTGTTGTGACTGATTTGATGACTGTGCAGCAGGCACAACACAAACACAACCTAATGACTACTGAGGGAGGAGTACTGTATTACTGTACTACTGTACTGGACTGGCGCCGCGCGGTAGTTGGTAGTAGTTAGTTGTGACTTGTGGGGATGGGGGTGGGACTGGGATAGAGAGGAGGGGCAAGTCAACCGTAGGCCTATAGACTACAGCTGGCCTACGTGCTATTCCCGTAATTTGCTGACGTCATCTAAATTGAAAAAAAATCAGCTGATGAATGTATTGCCACATCAGTATACTGTATATTTCTTTTGATTTGATTGTTATTGTTTTTATAATTTTTCTCAATTGTAAAATGGTGTTTGCAATCTGAGTGACGTCAGCATATGACGGGAATAGCACACCGTCAGCATATGACGGAAATAGCACACCTATGTATTTTCCTTCCACCATGCAGGCCTCTCTGCCTCTGATAGTATAGTGAGTGCGCCCGGTTCACACTGCTGCCTGCCTTTCCCTGACTACACGAGGTATAACCTGAAGGTCAAGTATTTTCAATTTTGTTGTAGTTATTTACTTTTGCAATAAGTCAAAATCACTTAACTACAAGTTGAAATCACCCATTTGATTTTTGAAATCCTGGCTGATAAACCCCTATTTTTCCTAGTGCGGGCGGTGATTCAGGGCGCCCCTCGGGCGCCCCCCAACCACCGGCGCCCCTGGGCATATGCCCAGTCTGCCCGTTTATAAAAGTGGGCCTGAAATACAGGCACAATTAAATAGAAATATTTTGACATGTGAAAAAATCCTCCACTGTATACGGGCATTTTTGTATTAAATATGTTTTCATTTTTGATTTGAAAGTGTTCAAGGATAACTCCCGAGACTCCACTGATAAATTATTAAACAATTTAGCTGCCATGTATTGAATGTTTGTTTGACTCTTTGAGTATTTACAAAGCACTGTTTGTAAGTTGTCTTTAAATCTGATTTCATAATTATGTTTATTTGAATTTTCTGAAAAAATTTCCAAATGATTTTTTACATACAACAAAACTTGAAGAATATATATTGCAGGTAAAGTTAAAATTTTGAAATGTTTAAATATAGGTTTACAGTGAGTTCTAGAGCGTACACCACTTACAAGCCTTATCGCCCTTTTTTGCAATTTAAATAACTTTTTGGAATATGATTGGAAACCCCACACCAAAATTCCATAACTCAATAAACTATGTATCTGTGCATAATACACTGTTATCATAACATCTTGTGTTACACAACCTTTTAATCTTCTTAAACAGTATACACCTTTTGACAGCTTGGTTGAGGTTATGTCAATGTGATCCTTCCAATCTAGTTTTGAATTTAAAATAATTCCAAGAAATTTTAAAGGTTTTATCTCATTTAATAGGGGCTGCCTATTTGAGAAACAAATTTCCAAATCTTGCAATTTATTTAGATTTAGGCATAATCTATTTGCATTACACCACTGATAGATCAGATCTGTAGCATTTTTCAGGATGTGATTCATTTGATCTCTAGACTCAGAACAAACATTCAAGCCTATAGGTCATCAGCGTAAAGAAAACTATTAATATTTTCACCTAACAAATTGTATGGCAGATCATTGATGTAGATATTAAACAGTAGTGGCCCTAAAGATGAACCCTGAGGAACACCAACGTCTATATTTTTTCCTAGAGATAGCTCATTTTTGAAACTAACAAATTGTTCTCTATTTTTTAAATACGAATTGATAAGTTTAATTGAATTGTCTTGAAAACCATAAAATTTTAATTTGTGTATTAATATGTTGTGATTAACAGTGTCAAATGATTTTGACATGTCAAAAGAGCGAAAACAGACCAGTCTTTTGTTCTCTATATTTTTAACCACATCTATAACTAAACTAACAACAGCATCATTTGTGTTCTTCCCAGAGCGAAACCCAAACTGCGTATCAGTAAACATTTTATTACTTTCAAAGTATTCATACACCTGGTTATACATTAGTAATTCAAACAA